CTCTCTCTCTCTCTCTCTCTCCTAATGACCATTTATTTACATTAAATATTAGGAGAATTATATTTGTTTAATATTCATAAATTTACTTAATGTCAAAACTATTTTTACATTTTTTATTAATTTATTATAAAACTATGATTTGTTATTAATAATGGAAATAATACTTTGGTTTTTAATAGTCGTACAGATATTAAGCAATTTTTAATTTGAAAAATTCTGTAAATTAAATTTTAATAATTTTATTGTTTTGTTTATTGCAGAGTATTTTTTATATAGTTTGATTGTATTAATCAATTAGTCACAACTAATTAGAATTATTATTATTTAATGTAAATATAAATATTTAATAAATAAATTTTATACCGGTATATTTAAAACTGCAATTGACTGCAAATAATATTCTTAAATAAAAGTTTTTTATTGATTTTGGATACAATTTGAATTTCAAATTATTTATTGTAATAATTTACAAACTATTATTTAATGTATATTTGTTACAATCATCTACAATTATAATTACTTAATTATTCATATGTTAAAATTTACCTTAAATATAGCAACTATAAAGAATATTTAATGAGTTTATTTAATAAGGTAATTAATATTAATATTGTGTTTAATGATATATTTAAGAATTTTTAATGAGACAAAGGATTACTCGATTTTATCGGTCAAAGCATTTAGAAATTGTATTACTTTTTGGATTTAATTCCAATCGATTAAGTCTTTTGAGTGATTTTGGAAACAAATTCTTGCGATTAAACAAAATTTTATACAGAACTGGGAAAATATATTACCAGTTGTTATACTCTAACTCTAAAGGTATAAACTGATATTCATGTACTGTATGCTAATCTAGTTTAAAATAAGTACAATAAACTATCTATAACTATTCAAAATAATTTCTTTACTTAAGAGGGAATATTGTGTGGCGCTCCCCGAATTTGGTCACCATGGTCGGTTTATTGAATTAACTGTCAATCAATTGATGTCTGAATGTCTATATCTTTCGCAATGTTATATTATAAACTCAATTTAATTTAAAATTCTTACGCTTAAGATATTTACATAACATTTATATTGAAAGTTCAATTTAAAAAAGTCACAAATCTGTGACTGACAGCACTTCTAACGACACAATATATTTTCTCACTTTTTAATTTGTTTTCTCACATTTCAACGACTTTTCAATAGAGAAATTAATTCCACTTAATGCACAGAATAAGTAGACTTAACCTTCAAATTCTGGCTATTATTCAATCTCAATGTATTCAAACAATTCTGTCATTAAATTATGTTAATGTATATAATGTGACGAACAATGCATTCGTTGAAAAAAATCTATTAAAAAATAGTTCCTTTCGTAAACATAAAACAAAATTTAATTCAAGGCAACATTACTTACTATCGTTAATCCGATGGCACCTCTCTATTAAATCATCTACATTCTCTCGCTCTCTCTCTCTCTCTCTCTCTCTCTCTCTCTCATCTCGAATTTTTAGCAAAAAATAATAAAAATTATAAGTTAATTACAAATTAATGCTCGAAAATATTTTAATAAGTTATATTTAATTCAGGAAATACACTGTAATATACAATATAATGATATTCTATTGAGAAAATATCGACACATTATTAATAATTTAATACAACATTATTTATCATAATTTATTCAGAAACAAATGAATGTATAATTTAAATAAAAAATTGACGACATATTTGTACCATAAAAACAATAATTATTGGTGAACAAAAAGAAGGTTTATATAAACCGGCGATTATTTACATAATAAATACAACTTAATATGTAAAGTTTATAATATATAAGTTATAGTATAGCTTTGTTTTTATCTCAAAACCAACACTAAATATATGACTGAATAGTGTATAAAACTGGAAGAATAGAGAAGCTCTCGATTGTAATAAACCACTTGTGTTTTCATGACTAGAAATACAAATCATTGTTTTCTCGCATCGATTCTTGTANAAACCAACACTAAATATATGACTGAATAGTGTATAAAACTGGAAGAATAGAGAAGCTCTCGATTGTAATAAACCACTTGTGTTTTCATGACTAGAAATACAAATCATTGTTTTCTCGCATCGATTCTTGTATTCGTGCCGTTAATTAGTTGTTGATTCCTGTGCTCTGGTTTACGAATCGCCTGATTATTCATTAGATTATTAATGGAATAGTTTGAGTATAAATGACAGAATATTCTGTATACTGTATATGTCTTATACACTGTAAGGACATTATGTTTTGTTTTTGTGTACTGTATGTGAATTCACTCGTAAATGACAATTGGACTCAACATTTACATTATAACTCCAGAATATCATTAAATAAAATGAACATTTTTTGTTATTGAGTCGATCACAATGCGCTCCATAACTGTTTCAAATAAACGTTTAGTATAACTGCTTGAATGGCATTCAAAACGGGAGAGTAGTCTTCTCGGTATGTATTCGACTGATTCGGTTGATATGTTTCGCCGGTTTTGTTGACCAAATAAATTGATTCCAGAAATTCCACAAAACGTCTCTGAAATCCGCCTAAAAATGTCAAATTAATTATACAATTGCTTACAATTTCTATTACAATATCTAATTATACACTTTATTGGAGTTTATTATTTGGCTATTTTCATAAAAATTCCATATAAATAGCTAATGAGTTCACTGAATGTCAATATTATTTGATAAATAGCTTCTAATTATTAGATTAGATGTAAACGTAATTCAAATTTGATTAACACTTGCATTGACCATCGTCTACAGCACCAGCTCTCTCTCTCTCTCTCTCTCTCTC